TAAATAAATAAAATAAAATAAAATAAAATAAAATAAAATAAAATAAAATAAAATAAAATAAAATAAAACCTTTTAAAAGGGGGGGGGCACACCTGGGAGGTTTAGTCATTCAGACGTCTGCTTTTGAGTCAGGTCATGATCTCAGGGTTCTGGGATCAATTAATATAGAAAACTAATATATATCAAGGAATTACTCAAAATATGATAGGGAGACTTCTGGGTATGGAAAAGACCTGCCCTCAAGGAGTCTGTAATCTCTTCTATCATACCAATATTTTAAGTATGCCATAGTTTAGAGGTTTGGGGAAGAGGAGCAGTATACCAAATAGCTACTGCTACTGTTTTAACAACCATCATTTCAAAAGTATATCAGAATTTCTACAAATTTCCACCAAGATGAAAAAATCTTCTCTGTAATGACTACTATATAAAACTGAACTCATACCTATTTATGAAAAGGATAATGGTTAGTGAGTAATAGTACACACAGATAAACATCAGTACAGAATATACTGCTTATTAACTGAAAAGAAATAGGATTATGACATTAGCTGATCAAGGAAATAAAACAGGAGATATATATTTGAATATCTGTCAGAACTTATAAGAGTCAAGCCAAGTTAATACACAAAATTACACACTTTCTTTAAATTTGGCTGGAACAGGGATCCCTGGGTGGCTCAGCAGTTTAGCGCCTGCCTTTGGCCCAGGGTGTGATCCTGGAGTCCCAGGATCAAGTCTCGCATCGGGCTCCCGGCATGGAGCCTGCTTCTCCCTCTGCCGGTGTCTCTCCCTCTCTCTCTCTATGTCTATCATGAATAAATAAAAAAATAAAATATCTTAAAATAGAAAGAAAGAAAAGAAAGAAAAGAAAGAAAGAAAGAAAGAAAGAAAGAAAGAAAGAAAGAAAGAAAGAAAGAAAGAAAGAAAGAAAGAGAGAGAGAGAGAGAGAGAAAGGAAGGAAGGAAGGAAGGAAGGAAGGAAGGAAGGAAGGAAGGAAGGAAGGAAGGAAGGAAATAAATAAATAAATAAGGCTGGAACAAAAAAACAAATCCTAGGAGCAAAGGGATAAATTTCAATATGGGTAAGAGGAATATACACTGAATGTTAAGGAGTCAAGAATTACTTGGAATTACTTAGGTCTTGCATCTAATTACTAACGTTACTATTACTAATGTTACTAATGTTGCAGAAAAGGTGTTACAAATGTATACACACAAACACACTAAACTTTAAGAGAATACATACCTATAAGAATCAGTTTCTTTAAAAACTCTAAGTGGAAGAAAAAATACAAGGTGAATCTGATGCAAAAAACAGCCATACTAGAGGCATCTGGGTGGCTCAGTTGGCTGAGTTTCCAACTCTTGATTTCGGCTCTGGTCGTGATTTCAGGGTCATGGGGTTGAGCCCTGAGTCCAGCTCTGCACTGGGCATGAAGCCTGCTTGAGATTCTCTCTCTCCCTCTCCTTCTGCCCCTCTCCACCTGCTCTCTCCCTCTCTCTCTAAAATAAAATAAAAGCTATACTAGAAATACATAAGCCAATATAAGCAACAAGTATAAAAAACGAAATACTAAGAGAAAAAACTATAATAATGAAGAGCATACTAGCACCTCAAAATAGAAATATGCAACATCACAAGTCATTGTTAAAAACAACGCAGTTAAATGGACCCCTCATACGTACATTACTGGTGAGAATGTATAATGGTGCAGCCATTGCAGAAAACAGTTTGGTGGTTCCTCAGAAAGTAAAACATAAAAATCCCAGCTATACTGGGGGCACCTGAGTGGCTTGGTCAGATGCGCAACAGACTCTTGGTTTTGGCTCAGGTCATGATCTTGGGATCATGGGATCGAGCCCCAAGACTTGAAAGCTCAGGGGGAGTCTGCCCTGCTCTCCCCCTCTCCTCCCCACTTTGGTCCTTCCCCCTACTCACATTCTAAAATAAATAAATAAATCTTCAAAAAAAGAAAGAAATCCCAGCTATTTATTCTTAGGTATATACCCAAAATAATACCCAATATAGATATTCAAACAATACTTACACATGAATGTCACAGTAGCACTATTCATAATAGCCAAAAGGTTGAAATAACCCAAATGTCCATCTATAGATGATTGGATAAACAAAATGTGGTATAACATCCAATGGAATATTATTCAGCCTTGAAAAGGAATGAAGTACTGATACATGCTACAATACATATACACCTCTAAAACATTATGCTAAAAAAGAAGCCAGACACAAAGGTCACATATTACATGATTCTATTTACATGAAATATCCAGAATAGGTAAATGCATAGATACAGAAAGCAGATTAGTAGTTGCCAGGGTCTGAGAGAAGAAGGAATAAAGAGTTCTATGGGTGCAGGGTTTCCTCTGGATATACCAAAAATGTTTTAGAACTAGATAGATCTGACAGTTCCATAACACTGTAAATATACTAAATGCCACTAAACTGAGCACTTTAAAATGGTCAACTTTGTGTTATATTAATTTCACCTCAATAAAAATAAACACAAATATCCTCTTCCAAAAGTACAGTTCAAGAACAAGCACGTTTATTGTCTTCTTATAACACAAAAACACTATAACTGTTTGCCAGATTTCTTGATATACCTAATTACCAACCTTCTCTTCTTCACTCCGATAAAACATACCTGACTAAATCTATCATTCCCTTCCTTTTAGAATCCTCACTTTCATATGGCTCAGGTCCTCTTTACCTCATTTTCATGACCCCTCATTAATCTCTTTCATTTTGCCCTGAGAAACCCTCGTTCTACCGTGAACCACTTCGCAGTCAACCTGCTCCTCTTTCTGCAGAAAAATAATCTTTCATTTCAATGTATCAAACCTTTCAGTATATTAAATCTGAAATGACAATAAGACAACCAAATGGAAAAATCAGTGAGGTAGACAAGGGAAACCTGAGTTCAAGAAGAGTGACTCCTCCTCATGAACACACTGGTGTCTGATGAAACTAGGTGTGATGTCAGGAGAAGGCAATTTAGAGAAAGACTGGGCGACATGCTTTTGATCTGCTGGACCTTCTCTAACCGTATGTATCACCCTGGATCATTTGGTTTCCATAATCTTCCTCCAGATTGCCAAGTATTATGGGGAAAAAGTTATGAAATCCTTCAAAGTAAATTCACTACAAGGTCACCTTGTTTCAATTTTGACTGAATACTACTTCTAAGTAATCCTTTTATTTTCTTATTGATTTGCTGGCACAGTGATTTCCCAACTGTGAGCCTTAGACCCCTGGGGAACTACAAGATTAGTGACCACAATGGGTGCCCAGAAGCATGCATTATAAGACATATACACACATACGTATTATTATTTTTCAAATGTGCAGATGTTGTGGTTAATAAAATACCATCATGTGAAAGAATACTAAAATAGTAGCTAATATGCATTTCTCAATTAACAAATATTAGAAATATAACTACAGTCATGGGGGACCCACAAATTGCTGTGAAGTTAAAAAAAGTTGTCATCTTCAAATTCCTGGGAACCACTAAGAGTATTCCCGTTAGCACTTAAACACACTTTCCACATGCTAAGCTTCTAAGTATCCCCTGCGCACTTCCACTCCTAATTTTGCTTTCATTTTCCCAAGAAAATCAAACACATCCTCATATATTCCCTCATCCTCAATCCATCTAAATTTATTCTTTCTTCTCTATCTCTATAAATATCTGAGAATTTAGAAGTTAATGGAGTGTCTCTTCCTAACTTTTAAGACAAATTCAGATATACACACCCGATCCCCTCTACTTAGCCCACTATCCCAATCCATCCAACAGGTTTAATCTCTCCTTCTTCAAAAGTTTTCCCCTCTACCTAAAAACATTATCAGATCTACCTTATTCTACTAAAACTTTCCTTTATTCCACTTCATGTTCTAGCTACTACTCCATTTCTTTCCTTCTTTTTGCTGCCAACTTCTCAGGACTGACCTATGAAAGACTGAGCCAGCCACTTGTTTCTGTATAGGTTTTGTTGAAAGAGCCACCCCATTTCTTTAGATATTGTGGATGCTTTCAAAGTTAAGTAGTTAGGAAATCCTACGATCTGGAAACTTAAAGTTTGTATCCTAAAAAAAAAATGTCTGTCAATCAATGGGGTTCCAAAGCATGACCTATATATTCAATGTCATCATTTCCTCTGAGAATAGGTAGGTAATACAAAAGGTTTTGGAGCACAGTAAAGGACCATGAGTAAAAGGGCATTTCAAGACTATTAGTTTAACAACAGTGCGCAGGGAAGATATAAAAGATCATTTAGAAAACTACTGCAAGAAACCAGGCATTAGGCATACAGGGAGAAGAACAAAAGGGACTTTTTAAAGAAATAAGCACCAAGACTATGTGACAAAGAAGACAAAGTTTGCACCAAAATTTCAGTCCTTGATGATGTGGTTCTAAGAATGTGCATTTCCTCCTATAGTTTACTGTAGACTTATAGCTCTTCAGACTCTCCTATCTTAGGGACTGTGGAGTTCCTAAAATCTCAATTTTAATTCCATATCCTCAGTTATCAGGCATTTCCCACATCGCTACCAGGCTAACTCGGGGGTAAGCAAATCACTTAGGAAGAGGTGGTCCCGACAGACTTGGCCAAATGAAAGCACAGGACCAATGTCAGAGATGAATGGAGTACTCACCTGTGGTACCAAGCAGAGAGAGAGGGGACTAAGATTTCAGGTCCAGAACTGGCTCTAGCCAAACAGGAAGAAGCAGCTATGAATTTGTTTAGAGTAGAAGCAGAGTGTCTTTGATATTCTGACATACTCTTTCTGATGTTCAAACAGACCACCATTAGAGTAGCCACTGGTAAAAGTCTCATGAGAAACAAGCCAAAAAACAAGACCGAAAGGTGAGGAATTAAATGGAGCAGACCCTATTGGTCTTTTCTCTAGGAAAAGCAGTCTTCCTTATTAAAGATGGTACAACTTTTCAAAATGGTCAATATGATACTAACCTTCATTTACAGAGTTTTCACATCCCACAAGATTGAGAAGGATATCATCATCTTTATCATCAACTTCACATCCCAGCAGCATCCAGTTTTCCACATTATCACTTTCTGAAATGGTGCTCTCTTCCTCTTCACTTGAACTGACCTCTATAATCATGACCTCTCGGATTGTACCTGGCATCTCTTCAGGTTTAGGCCGCTCAATATTCCTCTTGCATTTCTTATCACTCAACTTATTAGAAGGAAGAGATGCAGGAGGACTTTGGGTCTTTTCTTTTGCTTGGACTCTAAAATTCTTTCTTTTGCATCTGTAAATACTATCTTCATCAGACAAAGTGATGACCTCTGACCCATCTGACAGCTGGATGACCTCACTATCTGAAAGGATAATTAAGTTCTTCTGATTTGGTTTACTACTGGGTGATTCAGAATTCCCAGAGTTCTTCTCTTCATGTTCTTCCTCTCTAATGATATTTTCAAGATCTTGGGCATAATGAACTTGGCTGTAGAGCTGAAATTCCACCTCACTATCAACACTCAGTTCACTAGATGACTCTTCACGATAAAGGTCATCCTCATACGCTTCTATGGTCTCATAACCACCAAACATCATGGAAAGTCAGTAACCTTGATGCTGTAAAAGAGAAAATAATAAAAGAACATATTTTAACAGCTCAGATCATGCCTGTTTAATGCATAACAATATCACCTTAGAGCTAACTTCTGTGAAGACCATCACTGTTCTCAATGACATATTAAAATATCTTTTTCTCGGGGCAGCCCCGGTGGCTCAGCGGTTTAGCGCCGCCGACAGCTCAGGGTGTGATCCTAGAGACCCGGGATCGAGTCCCACGTCAGGCTCCCTGCATGGAGCCTGCTTCTCCCTCTGCCTGTGTCTCTGCCTCTCTCTCTCCTGTGTATTCTCATGAATAAATAAATAAATTCTTTAAAAAAAAAATAAATATCTTTTTCTCTTATAATACCTTTTTTTCAAGGATCTATAAATCCTGTTATGACTAATAATATCCACCTCTCCCAAATAAAAATTACTATCAACAAATTGAGTTATAGTTATTAATGGAAATATCTTATTTTGCAGGTATGCTAGAAAGGAAGAACAGGTTGATCCACTACCTCAGAGACCATTTTTTTCTCTAAAATGTTAAAAAATTACAAGAATAGTTTAAGTCATTCTTATTATTACATCCATTCTTCATCTCTTCCCTGGTTCTGGTTCTTCATTTCATCTTTTCAGGTATACAATCTCACATAGGAATATTACTTCAACTTTAAAAAAAAAAAAAAGATTTAGTTATTTGAGAGTAAGTGGGAGCAATAGGGAGAGAGAGTCTGAAGCAGACTCCCACTGAGCATGGAGCCAAACGTGGGGCTCAATCCCATGACCCTGAGATCATGAGCTGAGCCTAAATCAAGAGTTGGATGTGGGATGCCTGGGTGGCTCAGCAGTTGAGTGCCTGACTTCAGCCCAGGACGTGATCCTGGAGTCCCAGGATCGAGTCCCACATCGGGCTCCTTGTGCGGAGCCTGCTTCTCTCTCTGCCTATGTCTCTGCCTCTCTCTCTCTCTCATGAGTAAATAAATAAAATCTTTAAAAAAAAGAAAAAAAAAGAGTGGGATGTTTAACTGACTAAGCCACCCAGGCACCACAATATTACTTCAACTTTGACTAAATTCACTACAGGAAACAATCATCGTATTTACTGTTTCCGTGCAGATTTTTATTCTCAATTTAAAAATTAATCTCATGACCTTTTTTATCCTTGAATAAAAGAACACATAAAAATATCTGATAAAAAAAATATCTGATAAACCTTGGTTTACTTTTGTACTAGCAAAAAGATGTGTCTGAAAAACATACTAAGGACCTAAATAAAACTAAGGCAAAACTTCTAGCTATAGGAGCACTTTATTTTCCTATTGTGGGCATATTAAATCTTGCTCATCCTTCAACTCAGCTTAAACATCCCTTTTTCTGAGAAGCTTCCCTTGACTCACCGTACTAAATTAAGTGTCCCTTTTATAGGCTTCCATAGTACTTTACATTTCAAAACACCACAGTTCTAATTACTAATTCCATGTAAATCTCTCACAAAAACAGATCACAAACCCCAGGAGATCAGAAACTATATGCACTTTATTAAACAATAGATTCCCAAAGCCAAGCAGAGTAACTGGTATTTAGCAGGACTTCCATAAATGTCTGCTGAATTAATGAATAAATAAATAAATAAATAAATAAATAAATAAATAAACATTAATGAATGAGTTAAATAAATGAGCAACTGGAGTTGCTCTCCAGTCTTAATAAATCTAGTATGTGTCTAAATATGGACCTTATGGTGGGATGAATTTCACAGTTGTCTCCAACTATTCCAACTACTTTCATATCATCAACCAAAATACTACAAAGAAGACATTTCAATTTAGTACTGATCAAAATGAGAGCTCTGGAAAAATAATTGATGTTTGTTCAAAAATCAGGGACAATCTAAAGAACAATAACAATGACAATTTATTCTTTCCACTTCCTTTTTAGCTATAAAAATATAACTTAGAAACACCAGCTGTTCTTAAGTTTACCAATTCTCTCCCCAAAATGTCAGAGTGTTCTGATGGTAGTTTTGGTAATACAACCAGCTGACTCCAAGAACCAAATAAACAAGAGCCAAAATTGCACTACCATTATGCTGAAGGGGTTTTTTTTGTTAACAGAAATAAAGAAATAAACTTTCGTCATATACCTTAGTCTTTTATATCAGGTATGCCTCAATAAAGCTGAGAGTAAAAATGCTAATTAAGTTCTGAGTTAACAATACTGTATTGTATACTTGAAATCTGCTGTCTTAAAATGTTCTCACTGGGGGAAAAAAAAAGATGAATATATGAGGTGATGGATGTGTTAACTAATCTAAATGTGGTAGTCACTTCATATATCAAATCATGATGTTGTACACTTTAAACTTACACAATGGTATTTGTCAATTATATCTCGATGGGGGGGGAGAGAAACCAACTTTTAATGCCTTTTTCTTCTAAAAGCTACAATACACCTGTTCCCTTCTTGCAATGTCCTTTAAGTTGTTATGCTGTTGTCATACAAGTTAAATGTGGCTGTCTGAATGATAATGCTCATAGCATTTATCAGTTTATATTGAAATGTTAGCCTCAGAGGAATTCAAATAAAAGATGAATTCCTTCCTCTTTATTTAATAGGTAAATTAATTCTAAAAGAAGTCAAAGGAATTGTGCTTCCTTCAAAATCCTCACTGGATCCATACTGATAAAACATAAATAACATAATTCCAGTGCAGCACAGAAAAAAATTAAAAGCGCTAAATTACAGAGTTACATATTTGTACTACTCTTGGAGCCATCCCAAAGGAAAGGGATTAAGAGCCATGGCACACCTGTGAATGTATGCCAAAAATAAACTAAGAAATATAATAAAAACTGACTTTCTTGGGCCTAGGGGTTTATCTCTTTCCTTGAAATGTAGAAAAATGAATTTAACAATTTAGCCCCTATGGCCTTTAAGAGGATTTTGTACTTCTGTACTTGAAAATTGTGCTCAGCATAACTTGCTCTTTTCTTTACGTAGCTTATGTATGCCAGGGTTAAGGTTTGCCTGAGGCCATTTTGATTTTATGTTTATGTTACTACTTAATTACATTCAAATGCATTTAATTTTTTGAGTGTATACTCGCAGGACAAACATGAAATTAATATATATGTCTTGAACTAGAAGACTTTCTCAGCTTTTTAATCATTATACACAATTCTCAAGCATATTTAACTAGATGAGGTCCCCATGAGAGCCACAAAATTTTAAGTCTCACATAGACCTTTCTGATTATCTCACGAACTCCTCAATTTTCACATAAGGAAATTAAGGATCCAAAGAGATAAGGAAGCCTATCCAAGGTTATGCAGCTGATTAAGAACACAGGACAGATTCACATTACCCTGGTTCTCAGCCAAGTATTCACTAAGATTTTTTTTTTTAATTTGAAAATATTTTGAAAAAAAAAAAAAAAAACTTCCTTCAAAGCTATTATTTGCATTGGTTCTAACACCTTTACTTCAAAAATTTCTATTTCACTTCCTAGTGGAATATAGAAACTATGAAAGAGGCATTTTAATTGAAAAGAAAAGCATACATCTGAATTTGTCAGTTTCCTATCAAGAACCTTATCAAGTTGGTACTCAGAATATAGCAATCCCATGATAAAAAAAAAAAAAGATGGTTCCTATATAAGAACCTACAATACCAGATTGAGAATGAAATTTATCTATAAAATTAAAATGGCCTAACAAATATTAAACTGCAAAGCCTCTCACCATTCATAAGTGGGAGTAGCTTTTTCTCCTTCACTTAAAAATCTTAAACTATACAACTTACAGCTTATTTAGACTTTCCCATTTTACTATACTATTTTTAAAGCCAATACTTATGCTCTAATAGTCTACCAACTGGTCATTCCAGACCTTTTGCTTATGTTTCCTTTCAAAGAACTTTCAGCCTCAATGTTTCTTCTTGAGGACACAGGTATGTATCTCAACATTTACATCAAATGTATAGCTTAATTTTAAGTCCAATGCTCACTGGAAACTGATTAATAAGACAGCTGATTTTCAACTTTAAATTTTGGCATACTTAGTGAGCTCTCCTGACAGTGACACATTTGAAACACCACTGAGTCTAGTAATAAAAATCTCTGTCCGTTCTGGGGCAGCCCGGGTGGCTCAGCGGTTTAGCGCCGCCTTCAGCCCAGGGCGTGATCCTGGGAACCCGGGATCGAGTCCCACGTCGGGCTCCCTGCATGGAGCCTGCTTCTCCCTCTGCCGGTGTCTCTGCCTCTCCTCTCTCTGTGTGTCTCTCACGAATAAATAAGTAAAATCTTTAAATTAAAACAAAATCTTTGTCAGATCTTCACTATGAAGCGAATCTGACTGTGGTAGAGAACCCTAACCTGTGAAACACCACTCAAAAAAAAAAAAAAAAAAAAGGAAGCCAAGATATCGGTGGGAGAAAATTATGCTAAATTTATTCAGACAAGTCCAGCTATTCTTGGTATACATAATCTTTGATGACAACGAATCCTATCTTAAAACAACACTTCCTTCACCTTTCTTAGCCCCTTCTTCCTTTTCCTGCAGGGCACCTTAGCCTTGTGGCCACTTTATCCTCTTCACTTCACCCCTTCCAGAGTTCGCTCCCTCCTCTGATTATGGAAAACAGCAATCCTGAACTGTCTCCAAAGCGGGACGCTGTCCGGAATAGACACACAGCCCACCCACTTGGAAGTCTTTGCATCGGACAAACTATTCAAAAACACAAAGTCAAGAGCTTTGCATGGGACCTGAATCCCTCAACTGCACGCTGTCGTTGGGAAACAGGCTCTGAGAAGCTTAATTTATTCACTGAGCCCTAAGATCTCCTGTGATCTGAAACAGAGGTAGACTCAGCCTCAACAGGAGATTTCTGGGGTCCCCAGCGAGCCGGTGGAGCGGCGACTAGAGCAGAGGCCTGCGGATCCCCGGCCGGCGCTCCCACAGCACCTGCAGCTCTTCAAGTTGGAAGTTACCGGCGGGCTCACGGGAAGTGAGGGATAAAGCAAATCTTAGCGAACACAGTCCGAGTCTCCCTGTTTTACATGGGGGAAGGGGCACAGCTCCCTAAATTTTTCTGTCAGAGGCAGGAGTTGGGACCGTCTGGTCCTCACAGGCCGGGCTCCCTCAGAGCGGCAGGACCTCCGCGTTTAACGGGATGACCGGCTTCCCTGAAAAAAAAAAAGGTGGGGGGGACTAAGGGAGGGGAGGTTTAACAGGCAGAAACGCCCCCCCCCCCCACTGAGGCCAGGGGCGGCCAGAGCTTTCTGACCCGCGACCTCGCCCTTGGCGGGGTGAGGAGAAGCGAACACCCCAGCCGGCCAGCCGAGCCGCGTGAGGTAGAATACGACTGAGGGGCCACAGCTGCACCCAGCCCGGAGTTGGGGGCAGAGCCGGGACGCGGAGGCCGGCCAGTGCACTCGCGCTAGTTCCACACCCCAGCGGGAGCGACGGAGGGCGGGCAGGGGTCCCCCGGCCGCGGGCGGCTGGGGGTCCGTCACACACATACTCACTGCCGCGGCTGCGACCAGGAAGCACCAACCAGGAACCAAAACGCGTAGAGGGACGGGGAGGGGCGAGGACAAATGAGGTAAGGAGACCTCGTCCGCGCGGACCCGGGAGGAGGGAAGGCACTTCCGGGGAAAACACAGCTCCCGGGAGTCTTCTTCCGTCCCCGCCCACCCCGCGGGCCCTCTGTGCGCGTGCGTAATAATTGTTAACCCTTTCTCTTCCTCGCTGACTACCTCCTGGTTTGCCTTCTTTGCTTTGCTCCTTCGCCTTCATGACTTCTTTCAAAGATACGTAGGCTGCAGCTGTAATGGGGAGCACTTGGTTTGGATCACTTGCACGCAGGAGATGCTAGTAAGTAGGCAAAACCAAGGGAGAGCTTGCACCCTTTCTGTGCCCACAAGGAAAACTACAATTCCCATGATGCCCCTGGGCGGGTTTCCGGATGGGCTCCGCCTCCTCCTCTCGACCTCTGGAGCACCCTTTTTGTGCCACGTGGCGTGGGAGGCGACCTGAGACCGAAGTAGGATGGAAGTGCTCGCTCAGGAGGGACCTTGCCCAGCTCACTGGGGCACCCCAGCGAGTGAGAAACTTCTTTGAGCCTGGCATCTAGCGTTAGGTGACCTTAGGCAGGTCCCTTCCACTTCTGGTTTGAAGTTGAATTTAGTTAGGACTGGGGCGATAATGGCTGTCTTTTCCTAGAATTCGAGGCAACAGATTTAACTCTTTGAGAACTTTGAAGAGCTGCCCTTTTTTTGTTTGTTGGTTGGTTTGGGGTTTTTGTTTGTTTGTTTGTTTGTTTTTTAAGTAAGCTCTACTCTCAGCCTGGGTCTTGAGCTCACAGGGAGATGAGTCACTTGCTTACCAACTGAGCCCGCCAGGCACCCATGAAGAGCTGCCCTCCTGCAAAAGATTGAAGTTAACACTTGTCCTTTGGAAGCCTCCAGAGCAACAAGATTGTGTTGGAAGCCTCTGGCTTTTCTGTTCTTCTCACACCTCAATACTTAGTAATCTATCCGTACAACTTTCCATAAGGACAAAGCACTTTGTCAGTTCATTGATCCTTGGCAACAGTCCTGAAAGATAAGCTTGACTTTGGTTCTTTTTTTTTTTTTCTTAAGATTTTATTTATTCATGCGACGCAGAGAGAGGTGAAGACATAAGCAGAGGGAGAATCAGGCGCCGTGTGGGGAGCCCGATGCGGGACTCCATCCCAGGACCCTGGGATCACGACCTGAGCCGAAGGCAGATGTTCAACGACTGAGCCAACCAGGCTCCCTGACTTTGGCTCTTCTTGCCAACAGTTTTTGAGCATCTGTTAAGAGGCAGTGTTAGCAACTGGATGTAGTGGTGAATTTTTTTAAAGTCTCTGCCCTCTCTGAGTCTAGCTGGAAAAACAAAATACCATTTGGATATAGTCTAGAGGTGTAGTCAGGGAAATAATTAGAAATTTTAATTAACAATGTGGTATTACAGGTTACAATGAAAGGGTAAAATTGGAGGAACCATTTTGCAGAAGAGAAAACAGGGTCACAGAGGGGTGCCTGGCAGGAACAGTCAATTTATCTTCTGACTCTTGGTTTCTGCTCAGGTGGTACTCTCAAGATTGTGAGACGAAGCCTGTTTTGGGCTCAGCTCAGCAGGAGTCTACTTGAGAGTCTCCCTTTCCCTCTGCCCCAATCCTCTGGTCCCACTCTTTGCTCTGTAGGAAGCCTGCTTCTCCCCCTGCTTGTGCTCTGTGTCAAATAAATAAGTCTTAAAAAGGAAAGGGGTTTAGCATTGAAAATATATGAAGAACTTATAAAACATCCAAGGGATCCCTGGGTGGCTCAGCGGTTTTGTGCCTGCCTTCCACCCTGGGCGTGATCCTGGAGTCCCAGGATCGAGTCCCACATCAGGCTCCCTGCATGGATCCTGCTTCTCCCTCTGCCTGTGTCTCTGCCCCTCTCTGTGTGTGTGTGTGTGTGTGTCTCTCATGAAATAAAAATAAATAAGAATAAAAGTCAACATCCAAAAAAACAAATAATCGGATTTAAAAAATGAGCTGGCTCAATAGAACATGTGACTCTTGATCTCAGAGTTAAGAGTTCAAGCCTCACATTGGATGTAGAGATTACTTAAAAAAATAAAATCTTAAAAAAAAATGTGTTAAGCTTTTATCAAGTGCAAGGCTTACTCTATCAATGCATTATAAATAAACCTTTTAAATTTTAACAATCTGGGACGCCTGGGTGGCTCAGCGATTAGGTGTCCACCTTTGGCTCAGGGCATGATCCCAGGGTCTAAGTTGGAGTCCCACATCGGGCTTCCTGCGAGGAGCCTGCTTCTCCCTCTGCCTACGTTTCTGCCTCTCTCTGTGTCTCTTATGAATAAATAAATAAAATATTTAAAATAAAATAATAAATTTTAACAATCTTTTGTGGATGATTCTTATTTACTTGCTTATTTATTTTTAAGTAATCTATACAACCAGCTTGGGGCTAGAACTCACAACCTCAAGATCAAAAGTCACACACTCTACTGAATGAGCCAACCAGGTGCCCCTTGAGTTGATTTTCAATACCTGTTTCACATAAAGGAAACAGATTCAGAAATTAAGTAACTTGCCCCAAGCCTCAAGATTAGAAAATACTCCTAATTATTGTACCCAATCCTCTTATTATGACTCATGCATTCAACAGTTTTACTACTTTCCCATGATCAAAATGCTTTAGTTACCCCCTTTAAGTTACGTCATAAAATCTGTAGTCCTGTGGATGGCATAAAGGGTACTTCATGAACTGACTTCTGCTTCCCTGTTCACCACCATGCTGCATCCTGGGCAGTTATCAGAAGACACTATGCTCTCCCACATCTGTACCTTTGCAGAAGGCATTCCCACTGCCTCCCTCTTCCCTTCTTTGTTTTCCTAATAGCCCCAACTTATCCTACTCTGCTCAAGCCCTGGGTCTTCAGGAAGACCTTTCAAGTCAGCCAGACAGAACAGACATTACTTGCCCTGGGCTATCCTACACTTTGGATAAATTTCCATCAAGGCAATTGTATTGTTTACCTTACAGTTGTCTCCCAGCTGGATTGTGGACTCACTGAATGCAGAAGCCTTGACATTTTTATCTATCTTCACCAGCTAATATAGTACTTGGCAGACAACAAACACTCACTAAAGGTGTTAAAGAAATGAAGACAAATTAACTCCCCAGAGGCTCTAGGAAATCAAGAACTAGATGTGGGTCCACCGGAATCACATCAGTGGAGAAACCATGTCATGACCCCAGATAAGTGGAATGCAGTGTGCTGCTCCATGACATTAAGACCGGTGACCAGGTGGTTTGGTCAATTAAGTGTCTGCCTTCAGCTCAAATCACGATCCCAGAGTCCTGGGTTCCAGCCCTATGTCAGACTCCCTGCTCAGTAGGGAGTCTGCTTTTCCTTCTCCCTCTGTGTCTCCCGACCTGTCCTCCTATCTCCCCACTCATGTGCTCACATGTACTCTCTCAAATAAATAAATAAAATCTTAAAAAAAAAGATGGGTACAGAGATTTGTGATTAAGGAGAGTAGTGTATATATACACACCTTTTGCCTTTACATGGTGAGTTCTCATTTAGATGGTTTTTAGAAATCATGAGATCCAGTCTCCTATTGCAGTAATGGGGAAACTGAAGCCAAGAAAGGAAGAGACATGCCAAGAGTCATCTAGCAGAGGCAGAACTATCTATAATCCAGGTCTCTGAGTCTCTTCCTAAGCCACACACACACACACAGTAGTTCTGTTTCCACCTCCCACGGTCTCTAGTCCACACTTCTTGAGATCATGAGTAGCAGTATGCAAAGTACCCTAAAGCTTCTCTTACAGAGAATGTTCCTAAGAGCCCATTTACTTGAAGGAAGCACCTGTTTTCCCCCAGGACCGTGCCAGTACTACATCAACAGTGAGCAGCTGTATGGGGGTGAGGGTCCAGGACAAAGCAGAAATCTGCTGCAGAGGGCAGACAAGATGGGGATATACTGTAGTAGGGTCTAAGTGAGTGTCACATATTACTCATCTTTACCCTTCTTTTGCAGAGGGAGGAGATACCACCTTCCTTTTATTCCAGTTTATAGGTAATACCTAATACCTCTGAGAACTAATCATTCTGACCCCTTAACAATTGCCTTTAAAGTATTATTTATTTTAAAGTATTTTTAAAGTATTATTTAAATTTAAAGTATTATTCATTCATCGAGGCCCTTGCTTGCCACTTCAGATATCCTGTCCTCTCTCCCAACCCTCAAAATGACTCTGCAAGGGAAGTATTAACACATCTTACTAGTATGGAAATTGCAACATGGTAAAGTCATATGACTCATTCTAATTCACACAGCTGGGATTCAAACCCAACTCTGGTCTGAATCCAAAACCCATGTTCTTTTCTATGCCCAAAGCTGCCTTTCGAAACTCAACTCTTTAAGGGTGGAGACTATGATGACCTACTGCTATCTTTACACCCAGTACCATTGAAAAGATCCTGGGGATTGCCCAATCTGTGGGCTGCAGTGTTTATGTCCACTACTCTCATGACATCATAAATGATGTCAGTCATGGGGCAGTAGAATGCTTAGCTAGTTAAAAACTAAAAGGAAAATATTTCAATAGGGGACATTTGACAACCAAAAAAAGGGGGAGGGATACAACATCTATACTACTTTCTAAAAAGCTATACCGCTTTTGAAAGAATGAGATCTGTATATACTGACATAGCAAGATCTCCAGGACATACGGTTATGTGAAAAAAAGGCAAACTGCAGAGCAATATATGTATTATATTTTTTAGGATGCATATGTGTCTGTGTATAGATATGTTGTATGTAAATGCATAGAGAAAATACTGGATGAGTACCAATCAATAACAGCAGTTATTGACCTCTGAGGTGGGGATTAGGGATGGGAGTGATGAAGAAGGACTTTCACTTAAAAAAAAAGTGAGATGTGATTCATTGAGAGCAGCACATCACTTCAGTGGTATTCCTAGCAAATTTCTTCCAAAAAATTACATAACCTGAATGTACTCATGAGGAAACTATGAGACAAACACAAAGTAAGGGACATTCTACAAAATACCTACTCCACTCTTAAAAAA